TTGCCAAAGACTCGCCAAAGCGGCTACGGAAACCTATGAAATGCTAAAGCAAGCATTTGGGGAGTCCGCAAACTTTTGTGTGGCATTCACGTTTTAAAAATGGCCGAACCTCTGTCGATGATGACGAGCGTTCTGGACGACCATCTTCGAGCACAACGCCCGAAAATGTTACGAAGATCGTCGTCGTACCATCAACGACTTGTGCGACCTTGTTGGGATAGGCTATGGGACCTGTGAGCTGATTCTAAAGGAAGAACTCCACATGCGACGCATCATGACAACGCGCCAGCGCACACCGCCCTCAAAGTTCGGCAGTTTTTGGCCTCAAACACCATGGCCGTCATCCTGCACCCTCCTTATTCGCCGGATTTAGCTCCGTGTGCCTTCTTCCTCTTCCCAAAGAAGAAAATTCAGGTAAAGGGAAGGAGATTTGAGACGATAGAAGAGATTCAGGCAGAATCGCAGATGGTGCTTGACAGGCTGACAAAGAAAGATTTCCAGGGATGCTTCCAGGCTTGGCAGCGGCGCTGGGATCGTTGTGTTCACTCCCAGGGGAACTACTTCGAGGGTGATGGATGAATTTAATACCTGAGATAATTGTACAGGTTCTTATACGCGCAGTCTGGAAACCTTTCGATCGCACCTCGTATCTGTTGCAGGGGAAAATCTGAACTCCTGGCAACCATTGTAGAGTCGCGATTTGATGACTGCTCCATTCGGCGCTCAGCCCTGTTTAACTAGAACCACCATTTGACTGATATTACCTATACATCTCCCGTGTTGTCAGTTTTCTTTTGAATTTGCGACCAATGTCTCTCTCCAATAATATTCTTTACTGCTGTAAAATTGGGAATGCAGTCTTCGATGTTTAGATTTGAAATTATGAGCTGGCAATGGGGCTACATCTTCCCGCGGGGGCTGGGGCTTGCTACGTCACACACAGGCGTTACTTTATATAAATAGTGAAAAACCTTCGTTCAAAACTTATAGCTACTTAGCTCGTAAATACGTGTCTTTATCTTAATTAACAATGACGATAATTCATTACCGTTGTCATACAAGTCCACTATTATCTTTTGATTTATATTATGATTTAATTTTTTGATGACTTCTTGAGGTCGAAACGCGTTTGGCATTAGTGTCCTTCATATTGTAAATATTTTTGTTTGTATATATATATATTTTATATTGCTGATAAATCTGCGGTTAGAACGCTGGCCTTGTAATCCTGGGGTCTCGGGTTCGATTCCCGGCGGTGCCCGAATTTATAACTTGTGTTGGGCAAGGCCGTGGTCTAGGCAACACGGAGTTTTCCTCCGTGGCATCCCAACAATTACTCCATTCACACACAGAAGAAGGCAATGGCAAACCACTTCTGGATCATCTGCCAAGAACGTATATGAACAGGTCCCAGTCCGAGAAAAGGATGGAAGGATCCTGTTCATATGGACCTGTCTTCAGACAGAACACTAAATAAATAAAATAATCAGTATGGCTAGCCATCTGTTTCTCTGACAATATTCTTCCGGGTTCTGGAACCCTGTAGACAGGTCGCTAGATTACAATGTTTCTGAGAAAAAAGTATCAGTTTTCAGCCCTGGAGATGACGACTTTATGATTCTCCGAAGCGTTAGCAGCTACCAACGATTCTACACTGCCCAAACGTAGAACATCGTCCTCAGCGATCTGAAAACGTCGTATCTGACGCATGTCCGTCTGTTTTTGTTTCTTTATTTTAATTAAACTTTCCTTTGCCTTTGCTGTTTCCGTGTTGGACTGAGGTCAACAGAAGACCTGAAATGAAAACGTTAAGACACTGACAGTCTCTCAACAACGGAACTTCCTTTCGTAACACGTCGTTGGACACATTCTGAGAGTTCATGGGTCTGAGTCATGATACAGATAATTAAATAGTTGTGTTTCATACGGAAACACGTGTCCGTCCGTGTGCTACCTTGCTGCTAGGCACAGTTCGTTTAATGCGGGTTGCAGTAGACACCACTGCAGGCTACTCTACTCTGCGTTAGTGATGTGATATTCTGACTCTGCTCCCGAAAACGTGACAAGATGCCCCGAAGCAACAACAGAGTTGTCAGCCCGCCGTATTAAAAATATAGAATTAGGAACGTAAAGATAACGACACGAGCACGACACGAGCCCTTGCCGATTTTTCAGAAAACATTATTCAACGTTATTCTATGGAAAAACGTTGGGGACGTAAGTTGGGCGAGACTCGTTCGTGGAACGGACTAGCTCGGAGTCAATATAAACAGTTCCATTGAAAAAAGTTGAATAATATTTTGTGAAAAATCGGCAAGGGCTCGTGTCGTTATCTGTCAAGCACCATCTGCGATTCTGCCTGAATCTCTTCTATCGTCTCAAATCTCCTTCCCTTTAGCTGAATTTTCATCTTTGGGAAGAGGAAGAAGTCACACGGCGAATAAGGAGGGTGCGGGATGACGGCCATGGTGTTTGAGGCCAAAAACTGCCGAACTTTGAGGGCGGTGTGCGCTGGCGCGTTGTCATGATCCGTCGCATGTGGAGTTCTTCCTTTAGAATCAGCTCACAGGTCCCATAGCCTATCCCAACAAGGTCGCACAAGTCGTTGATGGTACGACGTCGATCTTCGTAACAGTTTCGGGCGTTGTGCTCGAAGATGGTCGTCCAGAACGCTCATCATCATCGACAGAGGTTCGGCCATTTTTAAAACGTAAATGCCACACAAAAGTTTGTGCACGACCCATTGCGGACTCCCCAAATGCTTGCTTTAGCATTTCATAGGTTTCCGTAGCCGTTTTGGCGAGTCTTTGGCAAAATTTGATGCACACGCCATTCCGAAATCGCAGGAGGGTCGGTGTAATGCACTACCAAAACGCCCGTAACTAAGAAACAAATGCTAATTCGATGATGCCGGCTGGCACACTGATTCACTATGAATGTAGGCCGCACCCCCTAAAGGTTGAGCGTATAGTTTGGATAGTACTTTGCGAATGAATGGAGACTTTTGGTGGGGAATGCTACTGGGAAACGTTTATTTAAACGGAGAGGGAATGAGAAGAAACGATTAAAATGTATCTCATGGCACAGGTTGTGATAATGAGTTCAATGTAAATGTTGCTGAAGTTTAAATGAAAATTGCTGGAATATTAGTTCGTTAGGTAGATTCTCAAGTTTTTTATTTACTTAGTTATTTTCTTTGATACTTCCACTCGTTTTCTTGCTTTTGTGGATTAGGCAACATAACACCTGTACCGGCCACAAAATACTCTTCCGGAAGATTATTTGCTCTCCTGTTCTCCCCTACTTATTCTTTATCCTTTGCCATGATCTCATCTGGTAGCTGTTGTCACTCATTCACATCCGTTTCTGCTAGAGCAACACAGGCCGAGTGTACTTTGAGACAATTCAACTCACAAGTCCACTTTCATTGCAACACAAGTGAGCAAAATACATGCAATCTCGAAACACAGCGAAACTGGGGAGAAATTTGGAAACTCAGCTCTCGGGCACGTCAGTTTGCAGTGAGTCGAGTTTCCGTGACTGTGGGAAAGAAAGACTTCGACGAAATAAATATTGTGTTGCTGAATTGTTTTGAAAAGGAGGAAATATAAGCCCTTTTATTCTAGGCTAGATAAGGGTGGATAAATCTCCTGAAATTATATGCCTGGAAAATCAGTAAAATGGGGCGATTTTTTGAGGAAAGTTTAACGTTTATGGTTTGGCGTGTGGAGTTGTCATAGTGACACCATGAAGATTTATGGGCCGCTGGGGGTTAAGCTTAATACTTTCTTGATCTCATCACTACATTCACCCTAACGCTGCGGCCATGTTTATCCGTTGTAGGAACCTAGGGAGTTGGTTTGGTCTTGGCCGTGTCATTAATCGAACGCCTGTCTTTCAGATCGTAGACAGTCGGTTTACTGAATGTACGAGGCGCGTCCCAAAAGTAAGTTTCCCTGGGGCCGTTTACAGAAACAAAACACAATTTCATGGAAATATTTATTGCAACAGATACAGCAAGTGTCCAGCTATTTTTCAACATATTCGCCACCAGAATTGAGACATTGGTCATACCGTGGGACCAACTTTTGAATACCTGGG